AACAAACAAAATACTTAAACCAAACGAAAACGAATGCATGGAAAAGAGATGAGTATACATAAAAGCGCTCAATGCCTTTTTAAATCACATTAAACAAAAATCTCATTAGCAATATACATGGATGGGGCAGGTTAACGGTGATTTTTAAGGCATATTAGTTTAATCACATTCCTTCCATGTTCCGTCTCTTTATATTCCTTTTCTCATTCTCCTTCCTTATCACAATCATCATCACCAGTACCATCACCAGAACTAACGCCACCACCATCGTCATCAGCGGCAACATCACATCTTGGAATTTTTTGTCTTGACAGACAGTCTGAAAGTGGCAAGGAAGTTAAATCCTATCTGCACTACATTAGACAGGAGGGATTAGACCTCCTTGGATGGTCACTGACAGGTGGTTATCTCATCAAATCAGCTCTCAATTAACATAAGATAACATTAATAACATTAACGGTCACCGATTAGACATTGTTTGCTATATAGAGGGCGCAAGTAGCTATAAGTATATAGTGCAGTGGGGCTTTAAGTAGCATGCATGCGTCACCGAATCTTCTTTGTCACAAGTCTATTTAATACTCTCTTGTTGCAAATTTGATCAACTTAATCCAATATTCGAGCAACGTTTTTTTCAATCGTCTAGTTGATCAACTTTGTATACTGCTATTTTAACATGTTTGGAATTGTATTTCCTATAGTATAATTGCACATTAGCACCAATTGGGGGAGCGGACTGGAAAGCATCACAAACGTTCTCAGATTTGAATTAACATATTTAAAAGAACTCGCTTTTGGGCCACTACCTTAAGCCTCGGTCACAAATGCCATTACGAACTGCTACGAACTGCTACGAACGCCGTACGAACGATTTTCAGACAATGGAAATTCGAAAAGACAATAGAAAAAAAAGGGAGATTCGTACGAACGCATCGTTCGTACGAACCTTTGTGACCGTAGCTGTAATAGAAATGCACCTTTGTTCGTTTAGAACATTTATATATAGAATGTATTGTTGAAACAATTTCTTTTCTCTTTTTTTTTAATAATAAGGGGGAGACATAAAGAGAGAAAGAAAGAAAGGGGGAAGAATGCCTTGTTTTTCAAGACACTTGTAGAGGTGAACATCCGTATAATTCAGAAGGTATACAAAGAGCATACAGCGACCTTTTCATTCTTTATACTGGAGTAATGAACCACCGAGCGGCAGACCCCACCTGTAAACCCGATATTGTGTAATCAAACGGAGAGAGCGCACATCCTGAAATCCGAACCCCACACACAAGTTTAAGTGCGCTGTATACAGCTACTGTGATAATCGAATCCAGGAGTCAATTTTACAAAATAGGGCCTCGGGGGTGTGATTGGATTGGGGGTAGCATGATGGATAGGGGACGGAGAGAGAGAGAGAGGAGGGAAGGAGGAAAGGAGAGAGGGTGGAAGAGAGAGAGAGAGAGGGGTGGAAGAGAGATGAAGAGGGAGAGAGACACAGAGAGAAAGAGAGAAAGAGAGAGAGAGAGAGAGAGAGAGAGAGAGAGAGAGAGAGAGAGAGAGGGGATAATTCGGTACTTTCCTATGTTTGGCGGGCTATAACAATATCAATTCAAAGTGTTTCAGACATTATATGCTAACTACAAATTATTTGATTGTCACGAAGTTTACGCTATTAAAGGCCCACTGCACTACTGGTAGCTACTTGCGCCCTCTATATAACAAACAATGCCTAATCGGTGACCATTAGTCCCCCATGATCCTCTCTTTCTTATGTTAACTGAGAGCTGAGTTGATGAGATAACCACCTGTCCAGTGACCTTGCAGAGCGGTCTAATCCCTCCTGTAAACTACGGCAGATAAGCTTTAAACTGAATTACAGGTGTACGAAGTGAAAGCTTCCACTTCACTTTCGAGCAGCGAGTTGATCAGTATGTGCTTTAACAAAAATATCTTTTAATCAACAATTAACATAGTGCAATTTCAATAGGCCTGTGCAACTCCTTATGAAACGTTCGAACATTACCATTATATGTAACATAATCCGGATGTTAATTTTTAAGGCAATACAATATAGTTTTGTATTCGCTCTTGATTTGATTTTTCGATAATGTTTGCGATCGTATTTTGATACTACTTTGATGGCAAAATCATTTTGTCAGCCCCTATGTTAAAGAAATAAAGTAAATATTATGGCAAGAGACGTCAGCCCTCTGGATTGAGTAGCATATGTGGATTAATATCTTGTCAAAGAACGGTATTGCCAAGCTGGGATTCGAACCCTTAACCCTAAAAAGGCCGGGCTATTTGAGGTCTTAGTACGGCCGTGGTGGGGGGGGGGGCATTATGGCCCCCCTTAAGATCAATTACTACAATTCAACTATTTTGACACCCCAAAAAACCACGTAAACTTTAAACAAGACCCAATAACCCATGTTTGATCTGTTTTTAGGAAAAATGACTTTTCCATATGTTTTGTACACAAATCACGAAAATGAGCGATTTTCGGGCTGACATGCAAAGACAAAAGGTCACGTGACCTTGTAACCGTAGGTCCGATTTTCAAAAAAAAATCTTTTAAAAGTTGCGCAAGACTCGAAAGAAAAAAGTCAGCGAGCGGCGGGGCGCCATCCATATGCGTTTCCGAGCAATCGGAAAAATCGTGGAGGGGGGGGGGGCATAATGGCCCCCCGGTCTTATTAGGGTTAACCCTTGAATTGATAGTCAAGTAAATGAACCACTATGCGACTACACGTCCCCTCTCTCTCTCTCTCTCTCTCTCTCTCTCTCCTCTCTCTCTCTCTCTCTCTCTCTCTCTCTCTCACTATATATATATATATCCCTCCCTTCCTACCTCGCTTTCACTCCTTTCCCCTCTCTCTCTTTCGCTCTCTCTATATCTCTCAGTTTCCTTTTTTTTTTCTCTCTCTCCTCTTTCCCTTTCTCCTGTCTTTCTCTCTGCACCTCCTTCCCCCTTCCCGAGAGAATCTCAACCCCCTTTCTGTAAAACCTTAACCACGATATACATCAGACATGTCAGTATCATGCTGTAACAGAAAACATAAGACACACCCTTATCTTGACTTACATAACACAAATTTTACTCAATGCTTATTAAATAAACCATTACATGAACAGACATAAAAACTGTTTGGACCACTGATGCGTAATGCCCTTCTTTTTCTTTTAAAGATTATAAGTTCGCAATAATAAGTGTGTCTCTGGAGTTTGGGCTTTGTAGTTTTGACACTTGAATCAACATTCGCAATATATATACATTTACATTAGTGAACTAATGATATACTTATTTTGTTTTAATCATACATCTACATTCATTTGAAACGATGTGAACGTTAACTATATTTTGAAAACATTTTAGGTACTATTTTATCTAATATATGAATACGCAAATACAACCAAACCTCTTTTACGAGTATACTTAATTCTCTTACCGCAGGATCACAATGTTGAACCTGTTAAAAAGGTAGGTTAACTTCAAAATATACAAACACACGATTAACAATGAATTGAGTACTGAAGAGATTTAACTTTTTCCTGTACAGAACTTATACTTATTCATTTTTTTCTTCTGTCGAAATTGATCTATTGATTCAGGATTGTCATACAGTATTCTGCTATTGGCAATCATTTCAGAATTATACTATATTTTTAGTGTATTTTGAATATACTTTAAATATATTTTTATTTGACTTAAACATATTTTGAATATATCTAAAATATATTTTTGGCCATCTGGTGTATTTTTATTATCACTTCATGTTTGTACAAATATATCAAGTTTGAATATCGAAATTATATGATCCAAAATAAAGGCAGAAGCCACTCGTCTGAATGAACTTCCACGCGGATCATATTTTCTCTATAATCGTACTTTCTTAATCTATAACCATTTAAAAGCCATGATTGATTCGGCAGATGATAATCTTTTACTGATTTACAAATTAGAGATTTTGTTTGTGTCACATTAAAAATTCATTCAGGTATAATGGTTTTACCTCAGTCTCAGTATAAGTCATTAATTTTGTGAAAAAAATGAAATGCCATTGACCTTACGCGTGGTCTGTTTGCTAATATATAGTACTGACAGAGTGACGCAAAACCACGAATTCATAATCTTTTTGATAAACCTATATTTTGTATCCGTTGCTAGGTCACGATAGCTCAGTTGGTAGAGCAGTGGTCTCGTAATTCGGCGACCCGGGTTCGAAACCAAGGCGACGCGCTAGTGCCCTTTGGTAAGACATTTTAATCCTTATTACCAGGCTTTTCGGAGGGGAACTAAAGCCGTCGGTCCTCTGGTTGCTTACTAACAAGCATTTATGCTTTCTTACCAGTCAGGTAAAATAACCACCTCTACACATATATTTGTGCTATTAATCTATAAATCACATTTATTCCTAAATTCAAACTCCTTTGGATGGATCGAGTAGAAAGAGAGGAGATTCGATGACTGCAGGTACTACTCACTATGAACATGATGGACAAAGAAAGCGGACAAAATATACAGTTCCTCATTCTACCCCCAACATTGCTGTGGTAGATAAAGGAACATCCCTTCACTGCTGTTATGTAAACATGTGTAGAACAGAAGAATATGCATGTGACACCCGTTCTACACATTTTTATATAATAGCAGTGAAGGCATTTTCCTTTGTCTACCACAGCAATTGTTGAGGGTAGAATGAGGAACTGTTTATTTTGTCCGCTTTCTTTGTCCGTCATGTTCATAGTGACTGTATAGGTATGACTCTATCATAAGCCCGCGTATAGGACCTGGGTAGCTGCTAGCGCCCCTAGCCCACTCAACACGGATGCGGCGACGACTATAGCTGTCGTGTTTCCCACGGCGTGGACGATACTCCCCATACAGAGGGAGAGGAAGAACTGAGCTACGAACACCATACTCTGGAGGAGGGCGACATCGGTGCCGATTCCCCGTATGACTTGCTTCGCATGTTTACTGCTACTGCTCTCAGTGATGTCCTCGTCATCGGACTCATCCTCGTCGAGGGTGGCGCTCTTCGTTTTATAGAACTGTAATGATAAAATGGTAAAGTGAGAAACGTAGACAGGTGAGAAGGAAAATTATTAACTGGTGCAAAGGCATGAAACGGATCTGGTTTATCATTAGAAAACAATGCATTTACAATCGTCATAAAATAATTAAGGATGCTCCACAGATTATCTGCGTCAAGGTATGGGGGTGTTTCACAAGGCCCTTTTTCATTGACAACAATCAGTGACAAATGTGCTGATAACCAATCAGAAGCAAGGATTTCAGTAGCTTATAAAAAAAATTGTAATTTGTCACTGATGGCAAGTTTTGTGAAATGGGGCCCATAACTCGAACCCCTGTTAGTGTTGTGCCTTATAGCGAGCCCTTAGTGATCCCTCGGTGACTTGGTATTACTACCCCGACCATCGGATTTATTCACGCACAATGTGCACCATTCCCACTCCCTGGGGAGTATTCCTGCCATATGGTCACCGTGAGGGCATAGGCAATTACTATCGCAAAATGCTCTCGTCATCGTACCATGCAGGTCCCCATTTCTTTCTTGGGTATTGAATGGCAAATGTAGTTTAATGCCTTGCCAAAGAACATTAGTGCCGTGTCGGGGATCGAACCACAACCTTTGAATTTCAAGTCAAGTGCCTAAATCACCCAACTACGACACTAATCACTTCTTGTTCATCGGTTTTGACCATGCACTGACTCATACCTCAGTCACACAACTAAACCCAATACGGCTATAGTCTTCATCGACGCCATACCGTGTTTGGCCATTAGGAGTAATTTATTTATGCTCATTCCTTGTTGTTGTGCCTCACCATTTTACTGTTACCATCTCTGTAAAGTCACATGGATTGGAAAAGGAGACCTTTGGGTTACAGTTATTTAGTTAATCTTTTTCTTTTCCCGGCATCCATGTGACTCTTTCCCAAATGTACTCTTGTTTTGTATTCAATGATTTTCTTTGTTTTTGCCGAATGAATAGTAATAATAATGACTGAGGTATCAAGACTGGATTTATTTAGATAAAATGTGTATGCCCCCAAATTTTAAATCGCATGGCACCTGAATACCTGTCTGAACGGCACTCTCCAAAATATACACTAGCTCGTAACCTCCGCTCAAAAACTGCCAAATACAAACTAATTATTTCCAAATCCAGACTGTCATCTGCTGCAAAGACGTTTTACAGTATGCCACTTTCCATCAGAGAATAATTAACCTGTATTGCCACTTTCAAAAGTTCTCTTCAAACGTACTTTTTCCTTAGGAATATGATACGATTGGCCTATTTTATGAGTTTTATGTTTCTCTTCAAAATTTGTGATTCTGTAAGCGCTATGGTACTTTTCGTTTTTTAAGGCTCCTAAATAATAGATGTTATCATTATTATTATCAAAATTATTATTATTATTATGGGGTCATCATCATTGTTATTATTATAATAATAATTATCATTATCATAATTATTATTATTTTTCATTCTTATTATCATTATTTTGATTATTATTAGTCCTATTACTATTATTATTATTATTATTATCCTTACTACAATCATTATTATTGTCATTATTATAATCATTATAAGGCCGATTATCATTATCATAATCATTGTTGATATTATTATTATTATTAATGAACTCACTGTATCTGTTGAGTGGTAGTTTGCTAAGAGGATGAACGGTACCGTGAAGAGAATGGAGTATTCGATGCCTGCTATGATTATTATAATCATTATTAGGCCGATTATCATTATCATAATCATAATTAATATTATTATTATTATTAATGAACTCACTGTATCTGTAGAGTGATAATTTGCTAAGAGGATGAACGGTAGCGTGAAGAGAGTGGAGTATTCGATGCCTGCTGTAGCCGAGAAGAGGAAGGCTGCCCAAGGAGTTCGTATAGCCGCCATCAGAGCCATACTAACGCAGTAGATTGCTTGGTTACCAACATAGACCCACTTGGCACCTGCATGGATGGATGACAAGATAAGAAAACATAGCGATATTAAACGAAATGATGTAGATATGTCATCAGCAAGTGAGAAGGGGAAGGGGAGGGGTCGATGAAATATGAATATCAGTCAGACTATTTTTTTTAATTATACCAGTTGTTCTACCGAATCGATGAATGTTACTGTGGAGAAAATTTTGTTTGATTTAACTTGTCTTACTCCAATAGTAGTTGTATAAGTAGTAGTAGTAGAAGTAGTAGTAGTAGTAGTAGTAGTAGTAGTAGTAGGAGTAGTAGTAGTAGTAGTAGTAGTAGTAGTAGTAGTAGTAGTAGTAGTAGTTGTAGTAGTAGTAGGAGTAGTAGTAGTGTAGTAGTAGTAGTAGTAGTAGTAGTAGTAGTAGTAGTAGTAGTAGTAGTAGTAGTAGTAGTAGTAGTAGTAGTAGTAGTAGTAGTAGTAGTGGTAGTAGTAGTAGTAGTAGTAGTAGTAGTAGTAGTAGTAGTAGTAGTAGTAGTAGGAGTATAATGTGGTAGTAGTATTAGTAGTGGTAGTAGTAGTAGTAGTAGTAGTAGTAGTAGTAGTAGTAGTAGTAGTAGTAGTAGTGGTAGTAGTAGTAGTAGTAGTAGTAGCAGTAGTAGTAGTAGTAGTAGTAGTAGTAGTAGTAGTAGTAGTAGTAGTAGTAGTAGTAGTAGTAGGAGTGGGAGTGGTAGTTGTAGTGGTAGTGGCAGTGGCAGTGGTACTAAATTTACCCCGGCTCTAGGTATAAAGGCTACCAATTCCGGTGCTCACAGCATTCCACATTTCCTGCTGCTAAAATACTTGGATTATATGAAAAATATCAAATTAATAAATATTGATGTCTTGCCAAAGGACATTATAGTGCCCCGCCGCGGTTCAAAACCACAACCATAGGATAGTAGTGTTTAAACTATTTGACTACAGCATCTCTAGTAGCTTCAGTAGTAGCCCCAAAAGTAATGGTACTATGATTCATAGCACTGAATGTACGTTGTCATGGTTACACTGGGGTTTGCATCGCGTATCGTTTTTCAGAATATCGTTTTGGATTATATTACAATAAATAAATTAAATAAAATAAATCGAAGGAATGTACAGGAAACGTTAGGAAATAAAGAGAGGAAATATATAGGAGAAACAAAAGACATATAGAAGAAAGAAAATTTGAATGACTTATTTAAGATAAAACATTGATGATGCTTTATTATGATTCAATTGATGGGAATGATGATGATGATAAAGATGGTCTGATCTGATTTGATCTCATCTGATAAATGACTTGGAAAAAGATGACGACTATAAAAACATATTATAATAATCATATAAATTAGGACTAAAACGAAATCCACTAGCAACCATCTTTTTATAAATTTGGCATCGAGCTCAGAAATATACAGAGAGCAATTTTCATTGCCAGCTTTCGTTAAAGATAAAGACCAGTTATGGTCATGCGATTGCATTGTGAAAGAAACGTTGTGAAATCGATCAGAAAAGGTTGATCATCTAGCATAGGTGTACTGCAAGGTGATCCGGAATCATCAAAAATGATAAGAAATTTGGCCCATTCTTCATAAAGTTACAAACACTGTACACAGAAAGATGTATATGGGACTTCACACACGTGCGCGACACATGCGTTTTTATCTCTCACACACCAATAGATAAACTATTTTACCAAATATATCAATTAGTAGGCGGTTTCCCGGCAAAATTGTTATCATCATGTATTATTCAAAATATATTCTTTCACATGATTGGTAATAAGAGCTTCCATTTCATTTTTTGAAATCGGGGCGTTTCCAATACTGGTCTTTACCTTTAACCATAATGCACCATGCTGGCTGAAAAGCACTTTGAATTTCCCCAAAACTAATTTTCGTGAATGGATCACGTTTTGCCTCTATTTGAAGCCGAGTCCAATATTGTCTCCAATTTCGGAGCCTGCAATCGACTCATTTATGTACAGCTCACCGAGCGCATGCTTGAAATGATATCCTGAAGTCTCGCGGAAATCGAATCAACTCTAAGATTCAATCTGACCATTTTTACCGCTCCTATTTGATGAGTTTCAATGGCTTCATTTAATTCTAAACAGAACGACATCGTCCCGTATGCGAGAACCGGTGACTCCTTCAAAAGAGCATTTTTACATAGTTAGAGGAAGCGTGGAGATTTTTAGAAGTCTATGTCTCCCTTTTTATCACTTATTCCAGATAGATTTTCTTCTTTTCTTTTTGGGGGGGCATAATGCAAATATCAACAGTTATCAATGATTGCGGTGCAGTTTTGTATTATACAAGTGAATTTCCTTGGGATTGCATTTCCATACATATTATGACCATAATTACATTGCAGTCGAATACAGATTAATTCAATTTAACTACTTTTCTGATTCCTGAATGTAATTCCGCGGTGATTAAAACTGACCAATCATCATCGTTCTCAAGTGAATCTGCGATGATTCAACATCGCTCTCCCTCTCTCTCTCTCTCTCTCTCTCTCTCTCTCTCTCTCTCTCTATCTCTCTCTCTTCCTCTCTGTCTATCCGTCTCTTTTTGATTCTTTCTTCCTCTCCTCATATCTTCTTTTCCTTTCTCCACAATCCCTTCTTGTTATTCAGAGCATTATTTCAGGCGCTGCAAAGTCAAATCACTTCCAATCCGGATTTCACATCCAGTATCGATCACGGCAACGATCAATATTTGAAACAGGTGTCTGCGAAGATGAAGTCATATCGGAGACAGAAGAAAGCGACGGGCAAATCAGAATAGGCGCTGAGGGGGAGGGAGGGAGGGAGGGAGGGAGGGAGGAGAGAGAGAGAGAGAGAGAGAGAGAGGGGGAGAGAGAGAGAGAAAGAGAAAGAGAGGGAGAGAGATGGGGTGGGGTGGGGTGAAGAGAGAAACTGAACTGAGGGAGAAAGAGAAGCAGACCGCCGGGCAGGGCGGGAAGGAAGTAAGGTGGGATTTCTAGTGAATTGAGATCGATATGTGTTTTTCTTTTTTGTACTTTATAAACATGTATTTGCTCGTGCTACGAAGCGGAGCCCGCTAACACCTTTGCCCAGAATGACCACCGTGAATCATCCTACTACTTCTCAAACAATCTTCCTTGTTGGCTTTCTCTCAATTTCTCTCTCTCTCTCTCTCTCTCTCTTTCACACACATTCTCTCTCTCTCTCTCTCTCTCTCTCTCTGTTTCTCTCTCTCACTCTCTGTGACCCTCTACCGATTTCTCTTCCTCTTTTTTGCTCTTTCCCTCTTTGGCTCTCTTTCTCTCCTTCCTCTTTTTCAATAGTGTGTGTATATATTTTCATTTTTGTTTTGTCTCTCCCTTTCACCCCCACACACATCTCTTAATTTCTTTCTGTCTCGATCTCTCCCTCCCGTCCTCTCCTTACAGTTCTCCCTATTTCTTTGTCCATCATTCCACACAAAATAAGACCATGTAAAATGTAAACAGAAGACAAATGTGTGTGTGTGTGGTTGTTACATTGGTTGTAAATTGCTAACAGTTGGGTAAAAGGAGAGGTAGACCCCACTTATAGATATCCCTGCAGTTACAGAATGTGCTGTAATCGAATTCACCTAAATTAGCTTTATTTCATCGTGCCATAATTTCATAGTAAAGTAATTAATTAAGAACAAGTCGTTTAATTTAAAGAATTTATTTTGTTCCCTCGCCTCGCTCACTCGCAAGATTTAAATTTTAAAAACTGGAAAAAAATTATATTCGGAAAGGCACGCCAGCCCTCCCTTCCCATCCCTGCCCTGGCAAAATTATTGACGTTTGTCTAGAGTAGTATATCATAGCAGATTGGACAGAGGAGTGAAACAGATTAATCAGATGGCAAAAATCAAAAATCGTAAAAACTGTTACATCCCTTTTTACAGAGGTACATGTATATGTCGAAAGGAATCGGGGATGAAGTATTCATAAGGTGACGAAATATAAAGCTCTTAATTATTATAGATCTACAAATCATATGATATATATAAAAAAAAAAAAAGACACCTCTAAAAGATTCGAAAGGTACCCTCTCTGTATTGACCGGACAGGGAGATTATATTGTTTGTATATGTGGCATTGTGGAGTAGATGTAAGAGCAACAACAATCTTAATTAAATGTGTACTACATAATACATAGACGTTATCCTTAAATATATTCTTAATAAATGTAATATTAATAGGAGGATAAGTAAGCAGGTCTGGTAGTAGTTGTATAAAACATATAGGGAAATTAAAGTAAACATACCAAAAAACTATATTTAGATGTATATTTAAATTTATATTTAGATATAAATGACACGATGTTTTTTGCTAATAACTCCAATGAGACAAGAATTTGTAACTTACACACACACATGCACACACACAGATTTCATTTTCCATCCACATTAAAAGTTGATATTCGATGTATTGCACTTGCTGCAATAATTGGGGATTTGGAATGAGAATAATTTTCCAGTTTCTTTCTTCAACCAATCTGGTTTATGCGAATGAGAAGACAAACAGTGCGTCGCATGGTGCTGCTGTTAACTGATCAGATGAAACGAATTTTATCACGTTTTCAGTCACTGGTGTTTCAGTGATTCACTTTTTTTTACCGTGTGCGTCAAGGTTGAATTAAGCTTCGCTCAGATGTGACGCGGTAAACTGCGGCGATGTTTTTTATGATGACGTAATTATATTGTAATACTAGTACGCTTCATATTTCTGTATCCTACAACAAACACAGAGCTTAATGAATACACGTATTTTTTTGCTCGAAATTGCCATTCATTCACACATTGACCAAAAAAAAAAGCGCGGCTACCAACACCTCATATCTAAACGAGCCTTTAGTTAAGAAGGCAACACTGCTGACACAGTGACAGATCATGGTAGATGGGATCGTTGTGAAAGTTAAGAGAAATAAGAAGAAGGTAGAAAAGGAGAACATGGAGGAGGTGGATGAGAAAGACAAGTAAAAAGAAATCTAAGGAACAGGAAGAGAAAGGAA